CCGGGGAAGGAGGAGGTTCTGGCTTATCTTCAACTGGCTTTTCTTGAGGAACTGGAGCTATAATGAAAAAATAACAATAATGTGTAAATGAACACAAGATGGCACCACGTATACCCTCATTACCCAAGAAAATGATATTCTAAAGACAAGGTGACAAAAATAATGATCATAAAGCAGATAATTCAAGAATCTGATTCACATTAATCTATGCTTTGCTGATTTTTAGGATTAAAAATAAGCTTTTCCCTCAATAATAACGCTATAACACTTGTAATGCTTAAATAATTAATTTCACAAGTGTTCACATGCTTTTAAAAATCCTTTCAATGAATTATCTATAACCATTAGCAAGTAATATAGGTGACTGAAAAACGAGATCCAAGCTATTTCCTTTGGTGTTCGAATAAGAATGTATAGCTAAGAGAGAGGACTCAGCGAATTGGACATTTTTGATGTAAAACAAACTATCATACTGCTTATTCAATAGCCAGTTTAGATTGTAAGATATGACCTAAAAAGTACATCTTGGCCTAATCAACTGTAGAGTTGCTGGACGCTAAGGAGATAATAAGATAAACAAGAAAATATCCTACGTTCGCTCTTTTTTTGGAACCAAACGGGCTTATCCTGTCCAACGTCCGCAAGCTTTTCTTGCGAATCCTCTTCTCCTTTTTCATCATTTGTATCGTCATTATTAATGGTGTTGATTCGAAGATTCTGTAGATCGATTTCCTTTTCCTCGTCGTCAATGGCCTCCCATTCCTCACTGTTCTAAAGCGAATAGAGTATAGGTGATGCGTACTTCGATGTTTAGTGTACTTTTTTTTATTTCTGCTACGGACGAGGTTGGCTCTTTGGTTTCTTTTCTAGAACCTCTCGTCATTATTTCAAAGAGTTCATTTGGATTTAATCCAACCCTTCCAGATTTCACTTTCTTTTTCTCTTTCTTTGCGAATAAATTATCCATCCTAAGGGTGCAAGCAAGACGAAGCCTAAATGACCCACCTAGCGTGGTACAGTTTCATATTTAAAACAAAAAGCTTTAAATCATTTTTATTTATAAACAAACTAATATAAAATGCATAGTTTATCTGTTAGAAATACATTTTCTAATATTTTAATCTACGTTTTACTTTCTTGAAGAAGACTACTCAGTCGACAATGTCTCGGAGAAGGCTGAGGT